CCCCCCCCCCTACACACACGCACACACATTTTTGAAAGCTAAAAACTCCATTGGAGCCCACCCCTTCCTCGAGATCTTGTCCCATGATTATTTTATCGATCTAACACTCGATCCAAGGCTTTGTCGTGGAGTGGAACTCATTTATTGCTCGATTCGGTGGTCAAATCTTCATTGTTTCTCCATTCAATAAAATCGAAAAAGAGGTATTCCGAATCACTTTTTTAGTATAAGTCATATATATAACTGAGTAATTAGTTATTATTATTACTGTATTGTATGCTTTTGTGATTGTTTTGTGAAATTTATTTTTTGTTTTTTATCCAGATTAATTTATTTCTCTGCAAAAATTTATGAAAATTGCATATTGTTCCTTTGTTGAATAATTAGTGTTATATGTTTACTATTTTTATAGTTGTACAATAATAATATGTGACTTTAGTGTTATTTAGTACCCTTTAGTGTTATGTAGTGCCCTTTAGTGTAGTAGAACTGATGATAAATTTTAATTTATATTAGTTGATGTTAATTATGGCCATTTAGAGTAGCTTGCCTTTAGTGCTCTTTAGTATTCTTTAGTGTAGAATACTAACTACGTAACCTCATTACTAACCCGATTAGAGTACTCTATTATGGATCAAATTTTAATCAATTATTAAGTGTATAGTAAATGTATTATTAAATAAGAATCAAAAAGTAGATATGAATCAAAAATTAGATATGAAGCATAAAATAATTAGTTGACAGTACAAAAGAGGCGATGCCGGATTTTTGTGTAAAATATAACAAATTAACATACAAATCGTTATGAATGAAATAAATACTTAATAGTAAATTTTTAAAAATAATATCAAATAGTTAAACAAATTAAGTATTTAGTATTATTTTAATCAGGAATAAGATTGTTTAAAAATTGATAGTACATAAAAGAAATCGGGTCACTTTTGTTTGTTTAAAAGTATTAAATTAAGACATAAATCATTATGAACGCAAAAAAAACTTAATAGTATTTTTTATAACAATAATTATAAAATATCGAGATAAGTTAAACGAATGAAATATTTAATTTTCTTATAACGAAGAATTAATATGAAAAAAAGGTGGCAGCTCAAACAAAATTCTGCCGAATTTTTGTCGAAAAATCTAAAAAACTAACATATAAATAAATATTTTATTTATCAACCTAAGTAATAATATAGGAAACTTATCGATTAAATATTAATATCAAAATTTTGCAATATATTTAAAGATGTTAAACGATTAAAGAGAAATACTTTAATAAATATTATTTAATTTACAAACATCGTCATGGATCCTCCGTATGTGCATCTTAGACTTACTGTTCCAGAGCTACTATTGCTCCAGGGTGGCCATATGTCTTCACACATTTGGGATAGACAGTTGCTGTCTCAGACCTTCCACCCCAGATGTATAAACGATCTTTGGGAGTTCATTAGGGACCACCCACTTCATCCCCGTACAGTTACATGCCTTCAGCGGACAGGGTTTTATCGGATTCTAGAGATCAGCCGGTTGCAGCTCGACTGGCCCCTGCTCACGGCTATGAGCGAGCGGTGGAGACCTGAGACTCACACATTTCATCCACCTATCGGCGAGGCTACCATCACGCGATGGGAGCTTATCGTTGGTTGATGCAACATGAGCTTGATAAGTGGACTTTGCATAAGAATGGTGGCAGAAGATGGGGAATTTTGACTACAAACGTGTCAGAGTCTTTCAATGGGTTGTTGAAGTCTGCCCGTGGATTGCCTGTCACTGCCATGATGCGGATGTCATTCAAGCATATGGCAGAGAGGTTTGTTGAAATATCCCGAAGTGCATCATCCTTGTTGGAAATGGGTGTTCAATTTATGCCACAGCCAATGAAACGATTTGAGAAATATAGAAAACGGGCAAAGTGGCATACATATTTTCGATATTGCAACGATCGAATATTTTTGAAGCTCGCATCGATTTGCATCAAAATCGCGGTAATAATACCTACACCATCAATGAATCTAGGCAATTATGTTCGTGTGGGAAATGGTTGATTTATTACTTGCCATGCTCACATGCCATGAAGTGCTTTCAACATGCTGGGTTTGTTGCGACGAGGTATGTTGATAAAGAATATAGTGTTGCTGCATACGTAAACACCTATAGCGACCACTTCCAACCAGTGGGTGCTGAGCATTATTGGCCGCCGGAACCATTTAAAATGGTGTGTAACAAGAATTTTGTGCGTCGCCGGCAAGTGCAAAAAAGAACGCGGATACGAAACCAAATGGAAGTTGGTGATACCGTTTATGCGCGTAAATGTAGTATATATTCCCAAACATGATACAATCGCCGTAAATGTCCTTCAGTCGGTTTGGGAAGCGGTGGTAATTCAGCTCCCGGTAGCAGTTCATCCAATGTGCCCAATTTTTAAGGATAAAATTAGTGATTTGTTGCTGTATTTGTTGTACCCAATTTGTGTAATGGTGCTGCTTGCAATATTTATGAAATAAAATTATGTTTCCAATAGTCTTAAATCTAATTGACAATACACATTGAAGATTCAATACAATAATTAAAATAACTTCAAGAAATAAATAACGATTTTCATTCGCCATTATCGTCATTGTCTGGTACTATTTTATTGTCATTGTCTTTATCTTCTTCGTCAACATCTTGTACGCATCCGTCCGGATTGAGGGCATCATAATCTAGACCCCAGTTGACACACATTTCTCGTATTTCATCGCTATCATCAATAAGACCACTTGCCTGATTTCTACAACAATATGGGACTCCTACATCTAACGTCTGCGGTATAAATTTTGATAGTCTCTCCCACTCAACAACTGTTGGAAATACAATATAATCAATGTCTCTATGCAATTTTTCATTCTCTAATAAACCCCAATGCCGATCCTCTGTTCCTTGCAGGTAGTTAAGATCATCCAGTGCATGATGAACGACTAGTGCCTTTTCCATCTCTAAAATTTCCTTCATCAGTATGAATCACCATTAGAGGCTATTGAGC